ATTATATTGCAGTAATTTATAATCTAGTGATATGCATTCAATAATCACCCATTTCCAAGGATGATGTTGTAAATCATGCATTTAAGGATGTCCATTTTTTTGGAAAATCAACGCTCACTGCGTAGCTCTAAACGACGTAACCATTAAATTATAATCACACATTTAGACCCAGCCTTTTTGTAAGAAGAAATTCGATTGGTAGAAATTGCATCATGTGAAATACAAATGCTAGAAGTTGTCGATTTAAAACATCATAGAAAGTACTTCTAATATATTGAAGCGACCTTCTATTGTGCTTTGACAGTATTTTGAAAACACTGGTTGCGATGTCGTTCTGCTATAATTTATTTCTGTAGATTCGTTGTTATTTTGTAATTATAAGAATTGAATTTCGCAAAGTCCGTTCATGCAATTTGTAATTGATTTTCTAGTGAAGTCTGCTCATGCAGTGTGTAATCGATTTTCATGTGAAGACCGTTCATGCAGAGAGTAATCCATTTTCAAGTGAAGGCCTTTTATGCAGTGTCTAAGTGAAGGCCTTTCATGCAGCTTCTTGTCTTCATGAATCATGTAAAGATAAATGATTTCTTGAGTGACAAGATACAAATAATATCACGTGACACCTTGGTTTATCATGGTACTGACATATTTATGAATGATTGTACATTCAATGACCTAGTTGCCACTTTAGTCTTTTAAAACAATTAAAGAGAAAAATGTTTATGAATTTTTTTATAATTACAATAACAGTCCCGTGCAAAAAAATGGAAAAGTAAACGAAAAGTATGCCCAATAGTGGCAAGTGATTAGCGATAAAGACGTGTCCTAAATCGCATGTGCTTAATTGCTGCTTCAAAAAACAAACCCACGTGATCTCGACTATTTTGCTACATATTAAAAAACACACTGAGACAAAAGTTATTATGCAAAGCCTATTTTTCTTTGATCTGCGGTTACCAGAAACTTGAATTTTTATACCAAAATCTATATGCCTCTTTCTTACCTATGTGCTTGAGCTATATAATTGGTCTTTAGATTATGAAACAAATAATAAAACTCCTTTAAGCGACCTTTGAAATTTTAACACCGAAACCACCAGGCCTTTTTTCTGACCTGAAGTGTTAGCTATTCACAAACATTTGCGAAGTGGTCGAGCAATAAATTGTTGCGCAAAATCCAGTTATCCAGTTTCAAATTTGACCTTTCTCCCCCAGGTCAATGAGCTTCTTTCTTACCTTAAGTTGCAAGTTATCCACCCATCTGGTAAAGACACTGGTGCAAAGCAAAGTTTATTTTGCAGACACGAAAAAGTTAATAGACGGACAGATGGACGGACGATAAAGTGATAACATATTTATGTTTCTGCTCTTTGTTGCATATTTCAAATTTTGTGTGAACTTTGAGGATGACCTCTTCGGCACAATTCAGCCATTACTTCTTGATGTAGAACATGAATTAGGTATGCATGTGAAAATGAAATTAGGTAGTCATGTTTGTTTTCCATACCTAAATGACCTGGTGTAGAAAACTAAAATAAGTAGGCTTTTTTGTTTGCATACCTAAATGACATCATGTAGAAAATGAAAATAGGTATACTTGTTTGCATACCTAAATGATCTCATGTAGAAAATGAAAATAGGTATACATGTTTGCATACCTAAATGACCTCATGTAGAAAATGAAAATAGGTATACTTGTTTGCATACCTAAATGACTTGGTCGTATTTCCATGCCATAATCCATTCATAATCTTTAAGAAAATTATGGACTTTGATTTCTTTTGTAATGAAAACCTTGTTAGCACAAATAAGTCCAACAGATAAGACAGTGACATTTGATAGCCTTGTTTGTATGCACATTTTGCTAACTTTAGTATTACTACTATTTCTTCGTATTTTTATGGCTTTTAGTACTTTCTTGTCTACAATGGAAACATACATCACGTACAAATATAAATCTTGTTTTATCTTACAGCACACATAATTTATTCTATGTCTTTAATACCTTATTCAGTTTATTACATGCTTATCCAGACAAGGACCTCTCCAAGATATTCTTCATTTCTTTCGTACTAATTTGTATCTATGAGCCATGACCACTTCATCTGATAAAGGCTGACCTCGTATTTGTTATATTACATACACGTATACATAAACCATACATACACTATGTAGGATTTAACATACATACATACATACATACATACATACATACATACATACATACATACATACATACATACATACATACATACATACATACATACATACATACATACATACATACATACATGTCTGTCTGTCTGTCTGTCTGTCTGTCTGTATGTATGTATGTATGTATGTATGTATGTATGTATGTATGTATGTATGTATGTATGTATGTATGTATGTATGTATGTATGTATGTATGTATGCATGCATGCATGCATGCATGCATGCATGTATGTATGTATGTATGTATGTATGTATGTATGTATGTATGTATGTATGTATGTATGTATGTATGTGAATACGTGCGTGCGTGTGTATTTTGCTCGCATATACATTTTAATCGATTCCTCTCTCTCAAGTACCACAAAAATCAAACTACTTACATGAGAATTTATCTTGTTCTTTTTGCATCTGTCAAGCGTACCAAGTTGCAAAAATGTATAACAGTGGCAATATGGACAGTCTTTTCCTCTGTTTTTATAAAGGTTAAGGGCAAAGTCAAGAGATTATTATCCTATGAGAGAGATATTCAAATATAAAGCATCTACCAACCTTTATTTTTTTGATCTTATACAAGTGCTTTATGTAATTTAGCAACCCTGGTACAATGAAACCTGCCATGAGAGACCACTCATTTCTGCCATCAAAAAGTTGTCTTTATTTACCATCAAAGTTTTTAAACGTAACATTTGATAATCACTTTATAACAAGGATTCTGTTTGTGAAGATTAGATTTGTCTCACTTGAATTAATTAGAAAATATGGAGACTTGGGTATTTTGCATGTCTGGAATTAGCGGTGATATTTAAACATCACGATTCTGAATTGAAGGTTTGTGTTAAAGTAACTTCACCTCACTTAACCGAAAACTTATCAAAACCAAATAAGCACTCAGCCTGGAGGACATTTTGCTTTGAGAGGTTTCACTTTTAACTTTAATCATGACATTTGTATCACTAGTCAAATATTTTTTGGCCACCGCTATTCTGTCCTCCGTGCTTGACCACAACTTTATTTCAATGGAATCTTTAAATTCTACGCGATAACTTTCACATGCTGTGTCACTGTTATTCAATTTATGCTGCTAAAACTGGGAGTAAATTCTGGTAACTATAGTATAATAGATAAAATCTGTCCTACAATGTCTTTGAAGAATCACTCTTTAAGGCGAGTCTGTAAATATTGACCTATTCATGATCTGTTCGATGAAATAAAGGCAGAAGATAGGATTGCCTCGCAGAGCATAGACAATACTTATGCTTCTATGGGGCACAACCTTAATTCTCAAGTAAATTTTGAGTATTTTGAATGTTCGGGTTATTGTGCTTAAATTAGGATGTTAACTGCTGTTAAGATCGATTTGAAATATCTCAGACGGAATTTATTATGTAATACCCGATATCTTTAGGCCCCCTCTGTTTGATTCACGATTCAATTTACAGTTATATTTGCCATTTAAATCTCTTTATGGCATCACTAAGTGGGGAATCTTTGCGCCAACTTGGGAGAAATTCTTATCAGAGAATTGATGGTGTGTAAATTTATGCACTTAAAACTTAGAATAATGTTCACTTGAAAGATATCCTGTTTTAAATCTGTAATTTATGTTTACCGATCCACTTTACCAACTACCTTAATCTTCATCGCACCAATTTCGTTTATCTTTTCAAATAATTTGACATTTAATAGTTCCTAATGTTTTTTCTCCTTGAATTTTCTATATTGAAGGTACAGACTTTCAACTTTTTATGCATGTTCTTGGATTCCTCTACAAGTATTCATGAAGCCCAGTAGTTTTAAAATTTTAAAGCACACGTCGAAACAAAGTACTGAGAAGGGGGAGAGCTTGCTTGAGTATCGACAAATAACCTTAAGTAATATGCTTTATTATATGTTCGTTTTGTTCTCCGTTAACTTTACATTGTCAGAATCATGCAATATTTTAAGAAATCGCGCGCAACTTCATATTGACTTCACGTGTGCCCTATGACGTAATAAGAACTACTTTGTAAACATTTAAATCATGTATACTCTCATAGTAGGCGCTTTACGGTTGGCTTGATTAAATTTGTTTCTGAATAAACTAAAGGAGATATTTTGTGGCCTGCCACATACCATCTGCTTCGGTAGGTTCCGCGTTAGCCTTTTTGATACAATGTTTCTTATTTAGGCTAGCTATAGACACTAGACAGGGTCTTTACCAATAACATGCAAATGACACGAAATAAACTGTCTTTAGCTGGTAATAAAAATGGCAAAAACTATACAGTTTTACATCCTGAATTTACTCAAAATGTACTTTCTTAGTTCTGTAAATGCGAATTACATGAGCCGTGTCATGGGTTCTCAAGCTTAATTACACATTTCTAAAATGTACTGTGATTCGACAATATTCCAAGTGCAATTCCATTTTCCTTACTGCATTCAAAACGATATAAACATTATATCAAATAGCTTTCTTATAACTGCAATTGAAAGACTTCATATTTTCCCAATATTATGATTTCAAATATTAAATGACAGAACAGAAACACATTTTCAGATGTCAACATGCTTCTTATTCGCTGCTTCAATCCGATGTATTTCATGTAGAATTGTCACATATAAATCCAACCCATACTCACAATATTTCGTAGAATCGACAAAAATACCAAATCCTATTTATTCTAGATCAAATGGAAAAGTTGTTGCAATGCACATTCCTTCAAAAGATGACCCCAAATTTCAATTTTAAGTAGATCAAAGCAATATTTACTTTCAAAAGTTATATCTAAGTTGAAATTTATCACCGCTCCGGTGGCCTAGTGGTTAGAGTGTCCGTCTCGGATGCGGTAAGTCGTGGGTTTGATTCTCGGTCGAGTCATACCAAAGACTTACAAAAATGGTACTAACAGCTGCCTCGCTTGACGCTCAGCTTAAGAGGTTAGTGTTAGGACATGTCGGCCTGGTGTCAGTATAATGTGACTGGGTGGGACATCATGCTACATGTCTACATGTCTGCGGCATGATGCCCCAGTGCTAGACATCACTATAAACTGCCACACTGCAGACATCGTAGCGATATGACTGAATAATTGTTAAAGCTAAGTTAAAAATCTAAATCATATCACACACACTAATTTATCTGGGCTTAGTTATGCGCGTATTAATAATGTTATGTAAGAATGAATCTGCGCTAGTATATTTAGTTTGGAATACGGCATACATTCATTTACTTTGTTTCTTGTAGGTTAATTTTGTTTATACAATAAAGCCCTAGGTAGAATAAGAAAATGAGCATATAATAAAAAGATTACTGCATTTGTATGGGAAAATATGAACTCGTTTTGTCGGATGGATATACTTCACTCCCAAGGTCGTGCATTATTTCCATCCGAAAAACTCGTTCATATTTTCCATACAAGTAGAATAACATATAATTCCAATGTTCTGGTACAAGTGACCGTATGAGGATGTGTTGCAAACTAAACAAAACTTAACCTAACTGATTTTCCCTCAACTGTTTGTTTCACCTATGTGAATTATGGCATGCAATTCTGGAGAAATACAAATATAGCTACACTATATTTCATGCTAACATTATGGCAGTTAAATTCATATTACAGTAATGTTTAAAAGACAATAAGTGTAGCAAAATATCGAGTGAATTAATCTATAACTGCATAGGTCTAGATACGGCAACTCATGCGAGGCAGATATTAGACGGTGCAATTTAAAGTTGGATCCAACTTACAAGCATGTACGGATGGCCAGCCAGCCGTTCAGTAAGAACTTTGAGACAAAACATCCGACCTGAAAGTCACAAAACTACCGTGGCCAGTTTTGGTTAAGATTTTTTTTTCATGAACAGTATTTGGAAGTTATAAGAAGACGTCTCTGGTAATTCTGTATTATTAATAGTTTTCTTTGTAGTTAAAGTTGAGCCAAGCCCTAAAACAACGATTAATTCTTGCGTGTGGAGTTATTTGTTTCTTCCCTGATAGCTGATAAAGTACAGACATATCATGGGAGCCAAGAAGCCATTCACCAAATGGGCTATCTCACCATTTTACTGTCAGAGTTATCCCAAATAGCCGTCTCCAATGCGTAAGTCCCTTATGGGTTTTAAATAAAACGTTTAACTTTATGACATTTATGCCCATCCATTTTATTCTGTGCCATTCTTTGTTTTCATTGGACAAAATATTTATTTAGAATTAAAACTAGAACGTCATGTTGTACTCCATCGTCTAGTTCATTGTCGCATACAAATGATATAACCTTCACACGAGTACAACTGATCTGACACGATATCAAAAAAAATATTCTGTGGACAACACACTGTATGAGATGGATCTTTTCTCCTAAAATACAAGCTTCTTATTAATACAAAACTAAAGGATACACTTCGATCCTATGTATGTATGTATGTATGTATGTATGTATGTATGTATGTATGTATGTATGTATGTATGTATGTATGTATGTATGTATGTATGTATGATGTACGTGTGTCTGTCTGTCTGTCTGTCTGTATGTATGTATGTATGTATGTATGTATGTATGTATGTATGATGTACGTGTGTATGTATGTCTGTATGTCTGTATGTCTGTATGTCTGTATGTCTGTCTGTCTGTCTGTATGTATGTATGTATGTATGTATGTATGTATGTATGTATGTATGTATGTATGTATGTATGTATGTATGTATGTATGTTTCACGGTACGTCAGCACAACGCTAGTTACATTGTGCAGATTAAAAGTTTTGTTATAAAAACTTAATGATCGGTTTTGTATGAATGAATAAATATATTTATCATGTTTATGGCGACCTGACATTTGTTCCTCTTTCTTGTCCATAATGTTGAGCGTGTAATTTTATGATTTTGTCCGTCCGTCGTTTCAGCATAGTAACTTTTGTTTTATTCCATCAACCTTTTCAGTCTGAAGAGCACATTGGGTTAGTCAGCCCACTATGTTGGGGGGTTTGAGAGGTCAAAACTCAAATGTCTCTGACAGAACTAAGAAAATTTGGTATTTGCATAATATTATTAACTCAGCATCAAAAAAATGAGATAATCCTTTTGAATGGCACGCTAATGTGGGATACAAATGTCAAAAGGGAAAAGTTAAAGTCGCTAATTCTGAAAGGATACAAATGTTTTCAGCACCGTTACTTTAATTCTTCATGACAAATCTAACTGAACTTTGTGGACGGTTTCCACTTGGAGCAAAACAAAACACATTGATAGGGTAGGGTCAATGTCACCATATCTGAAAACTTGAAAACTATTTCTGCCAAAAAAGTCTTAGTATATAAATTTTATGATCGCTTCCTTTTCAGAATATATTTTGTTGGGTTTAAGAAAAATATGATGGTACAGATAAGACCTCAGATATGGTGACACGTGCGGCCATTTTGAAAATCATGTCGCTTATTTTCCAGCAAGGATGGCCACCTCGGAATGTTGTTTTATTAAAATGCTTCTTATGAAATCTAATGGATCAAAAATTTAAGTTATGCCAAGTAGTCCTCCAATGCGGCTCTCATGGTACCAGCCTTTAAAACCTTGCTATCGATTTTTGTGAACGAATGGTTCTAGTGGTATGGGTTTTGACTAAACGACTTTTTGAGGTGTAAATGAAGGTGGCGCCTCTCATCTTCCAGTAAAGGCGCCAAGGTCTCCTCTAGTTATTGATACGTCTTCTGGTCATTATACCCCTTATGATATCGAGATCATTCTAACAAAACCCATGCTATCAGTCCTCGGACATGATGGTCATTGTAGCCCTGATAAAAATATCATAACTCTCCTGGAAGGCTTAATTTTATAAGCATATCTTTACCTTGTGCAATGTAAGTTCAGTGATATCATGATATCCGGTTCAAGTTCGAAGACAGTATACTTGATACATTGAGTGAAAAGGTTCAAACAACATGAATTATGGTTATTGCTAACGTTAGAATTAAAATAAAAATGACTGCAGAAAATTTATTATTTGCAAACGATAAATACTAATTTTAATTGCTACAATTTTTCACATTCTCTGACGATACAGATACATACTATACAGTATTCAAAACATACACTTACATGCTTCTTTTCAAGTCATTATTTCTTATATATTGACAAGTTTGTAAGCCTGATCTTAAAAATTTAAGATTTTTGTTCATCTTGTTATATTTTTAATATGTTAAAAAAGAGGTTTACTTTTAAAACTTTTTGTCTCATTATAAAGTTGATCTGCAGCTTCTGCGTGTCCTTGGAAAATGCATTTAATTCCAATTCCCTCAGAATTATATAGACAATAGTATGTTGAAAGTGCCATTACCAACCAACCAAAGAACGGCCAGGGACATTCATGTACATATATAAGGTACAGATACGTTCATGTAATGGCAGATCAATGCTTCGCCTGTTGATCATTGTAGTTGCTTGTCATAGATGAACAAACTTGTGGAGTAGACAGCATTTGTATTGTTTTATGCCTACTTTTATTTGGGTTGATACGCAACCATGAAGCTGGTGATTGCTTAATATAGACTGTTTAATCAATAATTTGTTTAATTTCTTAAGCTAAAAGCATAATAATGTGGTACACAGATGGTTAATGCCATGTTTTTCATACCAAGATAATACGGAATTGGGTCATTACCATTTTCAGCGTGTGATTGTGATCAAAGTGGATGCACAGACCTTTAGCTCTGTTCGCTAATGTAGCTCAATTGAAAGATTTAAATGTTTCCCAGCCAAATTTGACAATCAAGTGCCAAAACAATTTACATGATATTTGGGAAATGGCGGAATAGGTACTTCACAGAAAGGGAAATATAACTCTATGGGTCTAAGTAAGTGATTATTGGAAGTCTTTTAAAAGCGATTTCCAAACCTTAAATGTTTGCGTTGCACTTCACTTCGACTTTGAAGATACTATTTCCATTATTTTGTCCGAATTGTCCTACTCGGGACAAATCTATACAATGAAAACTGGTTTGACTTTGAAGCAGAACTTAAATCAAATTTCCAATCTAATGTCTAGTTGTGTTGACCTAATTTAAATCGTTCCTGTCAAAATGTTAGATTATGACAACCATGGGATGAACCTGACTAATTGAATTGATTTCAATACTACTAAATTGCCTCAATAGTTCCTGATCAATAGATCAATAATCAGTATAAGGCCTTTTGTTTACATTTTATGGGTTTATTTTGTTTGCCTACTTTCAGGAGAAGTGCACAATGTTATGACCTTTAATATCCCTGTCCATCTGTTTTGTATGGAAAGAATGTTATCAGTCCTGAATGGATTACACTCCTGCACGTATAATAGAAAAATAAATCTTTTTGTTTTTGGTATAAAAAGCTGATTGATCAAAGTATTTGGATTAGTGGAACATAGTAATTAATATGAAAATCATGAGAGATTATGACCTTTAATGTGAAAAAATTATTTTTGTTTGTTCGTTTTCAAAATTTGGCTTTCTTCTACGAACATTTTACAACAAATTATTTCCCTGTTATGCAATGATTTATTTAGTCACTCGTCACAATGTTTTGATGTTATGTGTCCTCATATTTCCAAGTTATATACTATTAACGTCTCTTGTGCATTTCGCTAGGAAGTTTGTACCCTTTCTCTTCGGTGTTAAAATTTCCTGAACCACCATGTCTACCAATTAAAAACTACTCAATGGAACTTAATTGACTTTTTGATCTTTGGCAACGTCAACATTTATAGGGGCCCATTATTGATGTTGAATCAAACTTTTTTGTACTTTGAGCAAGCTTGTACAGCAGACGAAGTATAAAAAAACACTTCTTGAGACATCCTTTTCATTCGTTCGTTTTGATTTGAGCAGGAATTATCCCATTTACCTAAA